GTCTTTAAACCTTCCGTAAGTCGCCTAACTCTCTGGTAAAATTTTCGGGCATTCCTCCTGTCGGCCAGCATTTCAAGCTCTTCGCACTCACGTATTTCTGCCTCTCTCTTCTTGTTGCGGCAAATACGTCTCGCTTCCCTCATCCGAGGCTTTGCCTTGCTTCTTCACTGGTTTTTACGTGGCGGGTGCCAAGCCCAGCGCACAACCCATTGATGGGACGGGGGTGGTTTCGCAACCAAATACACGTTTATATAGCGAGCCGCTTGCTCCAAGCAGACACCCGCTTGCAGCCGCACCTACTGGTGAACAGACGCTGCAGACTTCAGTGAGCCCTTAACCGAATAAGTCAGAGTGGCCCCACCGAAGCTCCCTCTCTTTCTGCCGTGACCGAAGGCTCCACTCGGATTGGTTACCGCATCTCGCACATGGGTTGCTCACGTTGCCCAGAGTGCGCGAACGAGGACGCAAAAGTCGGGATTGAGTATAGCCATGCAACTGTAACTGCATACCCAGCGCAATGACTATACCCCATTGTATTACTTAAATATAAAAACAGAGATAAATTACAAACTTATGGCGTTTTCTTTTCTACTAAACAATTTTGCCTTGTTATAAATATTGGATAATTTTCAGTAGGTTGCTTTTTGTCCCGCAAAATGGCTATATTAGCTGCAAGTATGGCACTTTTGCTTAGTCGGAGGGCAATATTTTGAGAAATGAACAGGTAAAGCTGTGAAGTTTAATTTATTGACATTCGTTGTTGTTGCCGACCACTTCACTTTTAACAAGTTTATGACATTTAACTAAAATCATGCCACCAAATTCACTAGCAGACAAATTTTTGTTTCTTAAAAAAGTAGAAAAAAAATTTGAAGTTAGTGAAGTTGGATGAAAATATTAAAAGTGTTGCGCGTTTCCAAACTGCCCGAATTCGGTACACCTGAGCAAACGTTCGAATATAAAGTTTTTTGCTTTTCCGAGGTAGGGTACGTAGGTTGATAACAAATTGCTGACGCAAAATATCTTTAAGCCTCTGTAAGATGTACCATTATCCGTGGAACAGGAAAGAGGTCGAGTTAAAATGATGCCTGCAACTTGTAAGAGGACCCATTTTTGGATTCTCGGAATTTTCTGATAAAGATGTGGTGCTGCTAAAAATATATATACAAAAATGTAAGCACGAAACTATGTATTTGTCACAAGAATTATCCACATAAGATGATAACTACTGCAGTTTTATTTTATAAAATTTTAAAAGTATGTTTGCACCATGTATTGTCTTCCCACAGAGTTTTGCTCCACATCGAAATTCGTGCTCTTTTATTTTC